GCCAGTGCAGGTATTGTGCAGAGCGGTGCATACACCCGACACCTGTTGCCTTGGCCGTGCTTTAGGGAAAACGAGATGCCTGCCGGGAGAGAGAACGGGAGAGAAAGAAAGAGAGCGAGTGAGAGGGTCGTAACGACGCGTATAAATTACGATCGCCCGTTCGGCGTGTGTTCACCCTTTTACGAGCACGGTGCTCCCGACTCCTCAACGTCCCCCTTGACTGATTTACCGCCGCGGTACCCGCGAATTATCTCTCCCCCTTTTCGCTCTTTTTGCGATATCGCTACTCTCACGGAGTATTTTCCGCCGCTTAGTCCGCGAAAAGGGAGGCAGCACGCCGTAATTTATAATGCGAGCGATCGCGAGTGATCTCTCTTCGTGGAGTCAGACTCTAGAAACTCTAGAACTTGCAGCAAAATTTACTGAACAAATCATATACCAATACTGAACGCTAATTTAAAACCGTGTAAAAAGATGTAGGGAAAGGGAGTAAGATGACGATTTGCTAATATTTCTGGCTGTCAATAGATTCTGGCTGACGATAGATAATAAGAAAAATATTTTGAACACTTGTAATTTTATGGTATATTTCTTCATAAGAAATTACAATTATAGTAAATATATTTTCACTGTCCCTATAAAACTACGGTATTATATATCTAAAAATGCATACAACAACGTATTATTGTTTTCCATTTCGCACCATTTTTTAAATGGATGAAATAAGATCGAGACATTTTGACGAAGGATTAGCGAAATTATTTTGTTCGTGAATGACCGCAGAAATTCACGATTTCTGCGGAAAAATGGGCCAGTGGATCTTAATCGGTCCGCTATCTCTGAAGAGTTGAACCCTCGTTAGCGCCTGGGTTATTTACGACGAGCGTATTATTTTCCCTCATTAGTCACCGTGTAACTGTCTCCACGCTCGACTTTGACACGCGTTATGCGCCCGCTCTTTATAGTCGCGATCTTGGTTCGCGTTACACCCTTGCAGATTTACAACCGTCATCGGGTACGTACGCGTTTTCATCGTACGTGGTAAACGCCGAAAAAAGTTTTCGCGTCTCAATCTACGATTCCACAGAATTAATCCTGAATGATCCCGCCATCTTCTGTGGCGCACATTACACCAAGTCGATCAAAGATTACGAGAAATCTGAAATCGTCGATTTCCTCCGAGTATATATTCAAATTGGAAAATTTCATAAAGATTTTATTATACGCAATACATTATAATCGTTACGTTTGATTATGCCGAAAATATAAATTTAATTTAAATTGATTCATTAATTTTTCTAACGAATTAATTTTTCAATTAATTGAAATGACAAAATGAC